CCCCAAAACCCCAAAACCCCAAAACCCCAAAACCCCGAAATGATTTATTATGGTTGAAACAATTGGTAGTTCGCAATTTAGATAATAGTTTATCTTGTGCATAAAGCGCTGTTATGAATAAAATTATATGTACTTAGTTTTTTTCATTAGCTTCTTTTTGCTTTTAGATGCTGGCTTCTTCTCGGTCTTAGAAATTGGATCTCCACATTCCTGATAGCAAGTCATTGGAGTAGTAAGACGTTTATTTTTGCATATCATGCTAATAGAATTAAGTTTAGACTTTTTAGAGTTAAGTTCTTTGATTGATGATTGAATATTTGTGATAGCCTTCATTACACAATCTTTAAAATTAAAAAGAACTGTAGGGAGCCTGGCAATCTCTTTTACATTTCATTTTGTATTCTTGAGTGATTTAACCTTCTCCAAAATATCAAGATCTTTTGCCTTGGCAATTTCATCCTTAGCTTTGCTTGGAATTTCTGGAGCTTTCTCAATAAACGTTTTGGCTTTGTCAGCCAAAGGCTCTATTCTGTCCTTGGCTAAAAATACGGAATTGATATAGTCATTTGCTGCATTAATAGAAGAAATTGTTTCAGACGGAGCTGAGCTTGCTTCAAGACTGATGAAAGGTTGCTTATCAGTAATATTCACAAACTTATCGAAGTTGTCTAAGTTTCCTAGAGAAGCAACTCTGAAAACTATTCCGGCAATAGCATGTTTGGCATTAGCCCCATCGGCATGATGGAAGTCAGTATCATAGAGAAGCTTGTCTTCTGCAGACTTAATGAGATCTTGAATTGTATAGAGCTCTTCTCATAATCCTTGGACCTCACCAAAGAATTCATCAACTGCAAATAATTTTGTCTTTCTCAAACAAATTTTTGAGTCAGCTCCTGTTGAGCTTCCACAGCCCATAATTTAAATTTATTTATTAGAAAATACTTCTATCAAAAGGTATATTTAAGGGGTTTTGGGGTTTTGGGGTTTTGGGGTTTTGGGGTTTTGGGGTTTTGGGG